AATTAAGGTATTATAGCGTTTCATTTTAAAAATGGCTGGATCGTGTTACGCGGATAACACGAAATATTTTCTGATGCGATCGGGCTCGCTGCAGAACTAAATTTGAATGAATGGGATAGAATTTTCGTAGAATGGATTTTTCCTGAAAGGCGGTGGACAGGTTTATTATCGTGTCAGAGGTTATCGAAGTATCGGCAATATTCGATGGACGTTGAAGCATCGCGCGAGGCACGTATCGTATAATATGGCTGACTACTTGTATAATTGGCCGCGATAACGTAGATTTAAAGACACATTTATCACTTTACATTCATTATACGATAAATGAAATATACGCGCGCTATCTCCGAATAAAATACTCGCTCCGGTAATAAATTCGTACACCTTGTGTGCTTTTCGTGGACCGTTATACGAATGTTACTTATGTTAGCTGCAGTGGACAAACTTAACGAAATATTGCCAGAATCTGGAATAATTCGCGAAATTCTGGAAAAATGATAAAGAAATATTACGTTCGTATTTCTTGCAGGTGAATGGAGGATTTATCGAGACCTATTTTTGGAACAACCGAGTGCAAAATATGGAGAAAGATCGTCTTTTTAATATTTCTTTTTAGGTCACCACTATAATTATTGTCTCTGGATCCATGTACCTTTTTGTTGAGAATTTGAAGCAACGATTTGCAACTTATGATACGTGTAGCATTGTTAGTATGTTGGATATTCCTGATTCGGTCGAATCAAATTATATCAAGTTTCTAAATTCTGAACAGTAAGATGTGCTGTGATTATTTCGGATTTATAACATAGTTGATCCACTTTTTCGTATTTGCGGCCTTATTTCTATCAGATAAAATTGGTAAAAAAATTGGGAATAATAAATTATGGCTGATCTTCTTATATATCATTAACATATTCATTGCCATGACGACCATAATCTCTGATTTTCTCTTTTTAGCCTTGTCGATATAAAATATGGAACAAATTGGCGATGGATGCTAGTCCAAAAATATCTCTAAATAATATATATTCGTTCCTCGAGCATAAAAATTCTCGACTATCACTGTTAGGCTACAACTCCGATTAAAAACTATTGAAAATGAAGCTGTAATGGAGTAATAAAACTTTAATCGTAAATATCTCAAAAACTACTGAGAAGCTGCTCCTATAATGGACTCCACGCACTTCAGATAATACCCCGAACGCTCGAGCCAAACCCAAGACGGCTGTTTATTGTCCTTTATTTTCGAGAAAGGGCCCAAGCATTCCCACGAGCCTTACAGTCATACCTAGGACAAAAGGCACTGTCACAGACGGCAGCCTCATTCCCTAATCATCATTCCTACATGTATATTCAAAATCCTGGTCCTTGTTCTCCGTCGTTGTCCTCCAACACATCCGGCATCTTCCAAATTTCAGAAAACACCGAAAATATCGATATTGTAGAGCAATCTTCCCAACTTCCATCGATACCACCTCGGAATCTCTACGAGCGTACACAGCCCGACCTCGCCGCTGTAAAGAAGTGTCCCATTGCGAATAATCGCGTCGGGACAGTTAACCATCTGTTGCTCTAATTCCACCTGCCACCCCGACTCACCCCCTCGGTCGCGAGACTTTCGAAATCTGGCCGAAACCGAGCGAAACTCTGGCAAAAGTCAACCGCGTTTCTTTCGGCGAGCCATGACCAGCGACTCACGGTTTTATCGAGAATCTCGCGTCGAAGTCCCTCGGGGAAGGTTCTCGGCCCACATCCGAGCTCGCAGCTGCGACCACGCCATGCGGAAAACTATCTCACGCCTTCGCCACCCCCTGACCAGGATGGCCCCGGGCGACACGAGCGAAAACTTTTCAATCGAGTTACTTCGCGTACCCACCCCCGACGCCGCCTTTTTATCTTTCGCCCGAAACCAACCCCACCGACGCCGACTTCCAGCCGTGAAATTGTCGCGCGAGTCGAGTTTCATCGAATTCGCGAATTAATTCGCTTTGCCCTTGCCTCTGCGTTACGATTCATTTGCTCCGGGTTGGGTGCAGGGGAAGGGAGGTGGAAAAGGTGAGTTGGGATGAGGATCGAGAAGGACGTTGATGGTGTTTGATGTCGAAGTGGATGATGATGGAGAGAACGGTGTCTGGGAATTTATTTGGTTGTTTATTTATTTAATTACTTTTATTTGAGGGTAGGAAATATTTTATATTGGGTTACACAGGGTGTCCAGGCAAGGGTGGTACAACCGGGAAGGAGTAATTTTACGTGAAAAAGCAAGTCGAAAATGAGGAATAAAATTTTTTCATTGAAAGCTTCCTTGAAATAGCAATTATCATGACTGGGAATTATGTTTGTATTAATTCAATAATGGATTGTAAATTAGTACCTATTCTGTCCCTTCGATAATAAATCAGCAATTAGAAATATTTAATGTAATATTCGATTAATATCTAATGCGAATATGGAATTACGAATTGATTACATTTGATTTTGGAGCTTAAGTATGCTTATGGTTTCCCAATTATCATTTTCATTCTTATTTTGGTTAAAATCAGTTTTGTAAATTAATTTAGTATAAGACAATTCGTTGGTGCTTGTATAAAAAGAACTAATTATTTCGTTAAACTATAAAGAAAATCTTTATAATTGTATACATCTTTTTTATGGGTCTTTACAAACTTTCAAAAGACAATTACGGATGATTATAATATAATAAAGCTATTCCTCCTGAACAATGGAGGACAATATAAACACGTCCCTTAGGTGTTATATTATGTATAATTTGTTTGCTTTTCCTTTATATGTGAAATTTTATGTAAATAGACTACGATCTATGTACGAATAAAATAATAATAATAATAACAATAATAATAAAAATTGCATCATTAGTGTAGTTGCAATTCGAAATTTTCAATATGTGGCGTTCGAATTTTACAAATCTCTCGTGGTCTTTAAATAAAATTGTTATTGTATTCCTTGTTTTGTCCAAACGCAAATTCTTAACAATCGATGCATTCGAGAAATTGATCAAATGATTAAAAAAAATATGACTAACGAAATATATTTCTAAATCTCAACAGATGCATTAAAATACGATTATAATAAGTACAGAACATTTTTAATCAATAGAAATATAAATTACGAATTGAAATAAAATAATTTCTGAAACTTCAAATAAATCTAATACGAATCTTGATATCTCTCGATTTTCAACTAAAGGAAATTGATAATAATAATTTCCCAAAATTTCATAAGTACTCCTCGAAATTCTCGAAATTCTCAATCTTCGAAAAATCGTTGAATCAATAATACAGTACACTCAGAAGCATGTCTCTTTAAATCCTCTCTCCTTAATTCTCCACATTTAATATCGTAATTTCTCAAAAACTCGCAAACGCTCGACAGAACGATAATTTTCGATGTTTAAAAAATTATTCGAGCAGAAAATTCAATTCAATCGAAAGCACGTGTATCTTTTAAAATCGTTGTTACTTAATATCGTATAATACTTAGGGAACAGATGAAATCGACTTCGAATATTGTCTTCATCGACTCCATGTCCGCTATACTACATTTCCACGCACTTCTGCGTACTTTCGATGACCACGACGTACCTTTTATGTACATACACGTACATAGTGATCGTTGAAAAAACAAAAGAAACTTCTTTTTTTACTCCTCTTATCGCATCGAACTCGGTAGACCGTAGTTAATCGCAGGTGCATCGAAATCGAGTTGGAGCTATTATCCTGGCGATGCGCGAATCAATCGGTCGTCAATCGATTGGATAATTCGACCTAGCTTGCCAACAGCCGGGACAGACATCAGGCCCCGATGTCTGGTGCACTTGAGTGGATTTAAAAGTCGATAAAATTGTTTCTTATCAATGCAGCGGTTACGAGCAACGACACGGCAGTAAATTTCGCAGACGATTTTACCTCGTAAGCTGTTCTCCCCGAAAACTATTCAAGCAACCAGCGAAACACGCTGATTTATTTATTCGTTTCTCGGTTGTAAATATTTAAGGTATATCGTAAAACTCGATTCGCGGAAACACGTCGTTTTGTATGTTACATTGAGTCATGTGTCGGGTATGGCGAAAGTGTGTGTGGTTTAGAGGATTTTTATTTTATTCAGACGTGAAGTGTGAAATTGTGGAAATGCGCGTGAAAGGTGGTACTAACGAAATTTGTTATTTACAGGTTATAAATTGCTGGGATAGATGCGTTATAGATTTACGGATTTAGAGATTTAGAGATGACAGTAGGTTTGTGAAGTTATAGATTTCGGAGATATTATTTATTTACTTATTTATAAGGGATTAAACCATTAGAAAAATTACAAGAAAATTATTACAGTGAGGTATAAAATTAATGATAACAGAGAAAAATAAAAATAAGAAAAGAATATAAATATAAATATATAAATATTATAAAAATATAAATATATAATAAAAATATGAATATATAAAAGTATAAATATATAAACAGACGAGATGTGTATAAATATAAGAAAAAAAAATTTGTATGTTACACCCAACCCATGATCTCCAATTATTGCTTCTTACAAACACTTTGTCAACTCACTACCAACACCCAGTCCACGATCTCCAATAATTTCTTCTCACAAGTACTGTGTCAACTCACTACCAACACCCAGTCCACAATCTCCAACAATTTCTTCTGACAATTACTGTGTCAATTCACTACCAAGACGTAGTCCATGATCTCCAATAATTTCTTTTTATAAACACTCTGTCAACTCACTACCAACACCCAGTCCACGATCTCCAATAATTACTTCTCATAAGTACTGTGTCAACTCACTACCAACACCCAGTCCACAATCTCCAACAATTTCTTCTTACAAACACTCTACCAAATGACCATCACCGACACCTAGTACACGATCTCCACCAACTTCCTCGTACAATCCCTCTGTCAAATCACCATCACCGACATATACTGCACGATCTCGAACAATTTCTTCATAAAAATCCTTTCTGCTTACAGATCAAATAAGCGACGTGTGCAAGAAGGACTACATGCAGGACCTCTACAGAAAGATAGACGGTGCCGTTCTAATCTCACAGCTGGAGAAGGATCTCGACTGCACCATCACCTTCCAAACGCACAGTATCCTCCAGCGGTTCATGCTCCGCTTCGATCAGCTGCAACTGGACTGCAACGATCATCTGTACATCTTCGATGGAGCCCACGTTGTCAGCAGTTACAAGGTAAGTCTCGGCATTTCATTTCGATCCCGCCATTGCCGATTACACGGGCTTCGTAGCCGATTCGTCGTAGGGAAACGTAACTCTGATCTGCATTCAAATTGGTATTCCCAAGGCTGGATGTAATATCGCCGCTTAGTGAGGAATTTGCATCCCAGGGAAACAGTTTTCGGCTTGGACATCCGCGTTCGCCGAGTAGTTATTGTTTGTTGTTCGTTTTCAGCGAAATGTTGCGATTTCCACGGGATGAATGATACTGCAGTGCGAATTCCAGGATTATTCGCAATCGAAACAAATAGGGATCGCGTAAATAACTGCCGGCAATTATTTTCTCTGTGGTATTTAATTGGTACAGGTGGGGTTTATTGGACTAAATAAATTTCATCTAAGGTTTCCGAATCTCGATTAAATAAAAATTCTATTTTATTTTATTCAGGAGGACGAAGCACAGTTATTATTATTATTTTCTCTGTGGTATTTAATTGGTATAGGTGGGGTTTATTGTTAGTTTAAAATATGGAAATAATTTATTTAGGAATTATATAATTCTGCTTTTCTGCCAACTGAATAAATTTCATTTAAGGTTTTCGAATCTCGATTAAATAAAAATTCTATTCTATTTTATTCAGAAGGACGAAGCACGTTTAATTTGTACAGAAGAAATATTATAATTTATGCATATTTTATGGAATTTCATTTTTAAGGGAACAGACGAATCTTTAATTTAGAAAATCAAAATTGATGAAAATTTTATTTAGGAAGTTCTTGTCAAATTGATAAGTAAGTAGATTTTTGTTAATATCTTTCCAAGCTAGAATAAATTGGAATAATAGATGTAATGGAGCTTTTGGATTAGGTTTCAGTTAGGTGAACAATGGTAACTTCATTAATTAACAATGATAATTTTCCTCTCACTGGTGATATCGAATTTCGAATTATTGAAATAATATGAAATGCGATATTCGGTTTCGAAAACTCGAAACCTGATATTTTCGCGTATTTTTTCTCTATAGTGCTTGTTAAAGCTACATTTTTACCTCGTATAACGAAAAAATATAAAAATTCTTCTATTCTTTCTACATGATTTCAATCTCCGCATATATTGCCCTATATACTTACCAAAATTTAACTGTCTCCTTTATATAACGCAGAGAAGGAATATATGTGATATATGAAAAAGAATACGACTTACCGTGTAAAAAACTGAAGACTATCTTCATCAATCAAAAGTTGCTCCCAGCTTAAAAAAGTCACTATCAATCACGTTATTCGAGCTTTCTTCTCCTCCATTTTCTTCGTACAACTGCCATTCGCAAAATATTCAAATTCTGAAGTATGGATATTTAATATAATCCATTTCATTCAACATCACAATACTGTAAAATAATCACTCGTTCATCGTTTTTCATTCCTTTACCCCAAAAGGTACGTATTGACTAATTTTTTCACCATGGTGTGCCTTTATAACAATTTTGTCACATTGTTTCGCCACCACTGTACTGTGCTGTATGCCTCTTTGTTCCATTTTATATTTTATATGCGGTATTTATTGTATTCCTTTGGACTGTGGACTCCGTTATTAAATAAACGTCTAAATAGCTGGATAAAGAGATAGTCTATTAGTGCAATACCATAACTTCGAATTAGCGAAACAATGGCACCCATGTCGACACATAACATCATCGACCGACCATTTTTGAAAATGATGTAAATACCTGTCGCGTATTCTTCTTGTGATTAACCTCTACTTGGGAATCAACCATGCTGAATGGATTGACTCGCGTAAATGGCACTGTTCTAATCAGCATACGATCGCCACTAATAATGACTAATGCCGAGTCCGTTGATGAAGCGTTGCTTTCTGTCCCCGATTAACGTTTCGAAGCGTAATTGCCGTCATCGATCAAAAGATGAAGCACTAATTGCAGCTGGAACGACGTTATTTTTCCATGATTACCAGCAGGGACAATGGCGACCCAACGGCGGAAGGTTGGCTGGACTACCAAGTTTCAGTTGTGAGGACCATTTTAATGTATTCCCTCATTATAAATTCCGAGCATGGCCAGCGCCGCGGAGACGCTGGAAACTTGCACCATTAATCAAGATTCGTCTCTTGGTGGAAGAGAGTACGCCTCGTTTGCCCGTTTCTTTGTTCGGAATTTACTTTTCTCGATCGACAGGGGATTCGATCCGAAATTATTCCTCGACTGCGTCGGAGCTCGTGATTCGACGGACGTGTATTATACAATCGCGTTATGGCTTGGCGGATTTTCCTGGGATGCGTTCGTCTTGGAACCGGTGTGAATCATTTATATCGAACAAGCGATGGGATTGATTGCGTCCTGGTCTTTTTTATTCCGGTTCATCCGTTTCCTTTGGCATTTCGTTGCTGGAGACACGTACAGAAGGAATTACTCGGTCCTGATTGGATGCTTCAGGAATTCTGAATCCTTTCGTTGCTCTAGATATGCCAGCTTCTCGGAGTCTCTTAGGGGTTTTAGATACTTTAAACGTCGTGTTACTGCTCGTGATTCGGGTGATCCAGATATTTCGACTGATCCAGGTGTTTTGCATGTAGGTGCTGCAAATATTTTGAAAGTGTAGAGGTTATAGGTGTCAGGGTACTCTAGATATTTCGAGTACTACAAGCTTACTCAGCTCTCCAGCTGTTCTGGGTATTCTGGATATTCTAGATACTTCGAGTACCCTCTGTGTTGTCTATGGCTGGGTATTCTGGGTACACCAAGTATTGTATTTCGTGCCATTTAAGTGCTCTACGGATTTTGGACATCCAAGGTGTCCTAAAGACAGTGAGAACTTAGGGTATTATCTGGATAACCAAGTACTCGTGATACTGGTTATAGATTAAATGTTTTAAGGGTTTGGCATATTTTAGACACCTGAAGTGTCTCGGATGCTCTCTAGCTACTTTATGTGTCCAAACTGATTTCGATTTTGTGTACTGAAGGTATATCAGCTAGCTTAGGTATCTTCAGAAATACCAAATGTCTGTCACTTCGGAAGATAATGGCTTTCCTAATTTGTTCCAGTGACCATCTACTAGAATAACTTTGCGAATTATCTGAAAACTGTGCCACCTTTCTGATACAAATCCATTACATCAATCGTGTCAGTTGTGTAAAATTGCTGCGAGTCGACAGAAATAATTTAGAGTAATCCTCTATGCGTTAACTTAGAGGAAGTCCATTAAAAGCTATCTCGTACTTTAATATATTGTATATCTCCTTCTACGAACCTTCCTGTAGCATATGTAGTCCAAAGAAACGTATTAAACCGTGTTGGTTTGTAAGGCCTTGTAAGGTCTTGACACGTGAGTCCTGAGTTCTGATACTTGAGTTCTGATACCTAAATCCTGATACACGAGTCTTGACACCTGAGTTCTGAGTTCTCAGACTTAGGACCAGAGATCTGAGTTCTGAATTCTGAGTTCTGAGATCTGGCACTAGCTGTCTCTAATTTTTCTCTCAAAACTTTCTTCACCTCCTCGGTTGTCGAAAATATCGTAGACCCATCATATTCAGTAGTCATTAACTATTACTTCTGAGTTCTGACTTATTAATTATTATTTCGGAGGACCCTCTACAGGACAAAATGAAAAATATCGAACATGAAATAAGTCTGTACTTAGGACTTGGCTGTCAAAGGACCGTAACGTGTCTTCTAGGTCCAGAATTTCTCCCATTATGGGACAGCCTGCAGTATAAAATCCTAATCACCGATCACACTGTTTAAATTCGAGCGATTATAACGGAATCTTTTTCCCATTAATATTCCTCTATCGTTTCGTTGAGCCTGAAAATCCTCACGAATCCATGGACTGACCCAATCCTCCGAGAACGTGGATACTTCCCACGCTGGAACGACTTTTCACGGTGTCCCGCGATTTCTGTCGCAAGCAGTCCTCGATGAATCCTCTCGGATCCGTGCTCGGTTTCCCAAGAAACGCATTATTGTTTCGAACCGTAGGAAAGAAAGCAAGGAAAGGAGTGGAGTAGGAGCAACACGAACGGATCATTTATTTCAATAGATCGCTGGGACAGAGATGGTTCGAACGCGTTGATTCTTTTCGCGCTAAAATCACGTTTCCCAGAGTTGTAGAGCGATTTCTGGCGCAAGCAGTCCTCGATGAATTGGTGTTGGAATCGTGCTCGGTTTCCCAAGAAATGCATTATTGTTTCAATCCGAAGGTTTTATCAAACGTGATTCGAAACACGGCGGGGGGAGAAGCGGTAACGAGTTTTAAGCTTGAAAAATAGAAGCTTCATCGGCTGGATGAAAAATGAACGTAACAATGGCTAGAATTATTTTTCCCTTTTTTCCTTTTTCCTTTTTTTTCCCCTCTCGTGAATTTGAAGTCTTGCGAACGGCGACTTGGGTTCGTTCTGTGAATCGGTCACGCGATATCGCAATTTTCCGTGGATTAAAAAACTTTAATATCAAGAATAGTTTCGGTTGTATTTTAGGTTTGACCTAAATATTTAATAACTGAATGTTGAGACTTTGATGGATAGTATTATATTCCTTCTTCTTATGTACTCAGTTTTTGAGACGGAATTAATGGTTTCGTACGACGTGACGATTAATCTTTAAAGATACCGATTCCTTCTTAATTACAAGTATACTTACGTACTTAATGCATGAAATAAAATTCACAGAAGAAGAAGGATTTGTGGCTTAGTTTGTATTAAAGTCTAAGAAAAATTTGTTTTTCATTGGAAATGTGAAAATTTGTATTAAGATTTATTAATATGAATTTTAACTTTTGAATTCAATTTTATGATTTGAATTAAATAAAATGTTTTCCAAAATTGTTCAATCTATTAAATTTTCCGATTTTTCAAATTTTCAATTGTCGTATTCCTGATATTTAATAACAGTGTTTTCCATAATTATTGAAATCTATGCATTTGTTGATTTTCATTGACATAATTTATTCTGAAAAAATAGGTTCTACTACATGGAGCGATTAAAGTACAATCCTCTTAATTAACAATAAATATAAATAATTAAAAAAACATTTTTGCAAGGAATGCACGATTTTGTTTTAAATAAAATATTAGTATCCAAACTATCTAACTTAAATTTTTAAATAAAATAGTCACGATTGATGCATAATTTCTCCTTAATCTAAACCTGCTAGCCATATATAATTTATTTAATTACATATGTACATATGTCTTTTGGCACATATATTGGGTGTCCCAAAATTCATGCAAGAAGTAATATTGATAGAAAACAGGTTTTTTAATTAAAATTTATAAATATTGCTCAATAATGAAGATGCGTTGTTCTCTCATATAGCGCTTCATTTTTAATAACCCTAAACTCTTAGCTGTCACACAGTTTTTTTTCTTTTGTTACAAGTTTTGTTGGTAACACTTCATCACACAAATGGCGGCAAATTCAAATCTTGCGTGAATTTTGGGACACCCTATACCTATACAATATTTTTCTTAAATTAAAAAATTTTCCATCTTCGTATCTTCA